GCCGTCGGCCAAACAGTGTCGGCTGGCGACCCCCAGGGGGAGGGCCTTCTCTGTGGGAGCCCCCACCCTGTGGAATGAACTTCCCCCAGAGATCCGGATTATTCCGGATCTCCCCTCCTTCCGCCGTGCCCTCAAGACATGGCTTTTCCATCAAGCGGGATTGGCCTAGGGGGGGGATTGTATAGGGATTTTAATAGGGTTTTTATAACTTTTCTAAAAATAACAGGCTTACTTAATATATATTTTAATTGTTTTTAGATATTTATTGTATAGTTCCGTTTTTATTGCCTGTAAGCCGCCCTGAGTCCTTCGGGAGAAGGGCGGGATATAAATTAAAGTAATAATAATAATAATAATAAAATAAACAGGCAGTCATGTAGATATGATATTCATAGATAGATAGAGAGATAGACAGACATACACATATAGACAGATATAGACATAGATTGGATAGATACAGTCATGTAGGTATGATAGACATAGATAGATAGACAGACAGATAGACAGACAGACAGATATAGATATAGATATAGATATAGATATAGATTGGATAGATAGACTTGACTGTCTGTAAGAAGAAATAGGATACGGTAGGGTAGGACGGAATATAAAGAATAGAATAGAACAGAATACAATACAATACAATAAGGATATAGGAATAGAATAGAATAGGGAATAGCATAGCATAGCATAGCATAGCATAGCATAGCATAGCATAGCATAGCATAGCATAGCATAGCATAGAATAGAATAGAATAGAATAGAATAGAATAGAATAGAATAGAATAGAATAGAATAGAATAGAGTTGGAAGGGACCTTATAGATCATCTAGTCCAGGGGTAGGCAACCTTGGCTCTTTTATGACTCGTGGACTTCAACTCCCAGAATTCCTGAGCATGTTGGCTCAGGAATTCTGGGAATTGAAGTCCACGAGTCATAAAAGAGCCAAGGTTGCCTACCCCTGATCTAGTCCAAGCAGAAGACCCTACACCATTTCTGACAAATGGCAGTCCAGTCTCTTCTTGAAAGCTTCCAGTGATGAAGCTCCCACAACCTCTGAAGGCAACTCCTGTTCCACTGGTTGATCGTTTCCAAGTACCGATGGCCAATCTTTCTTCTGTGTTAAGGAGAGGACAGCCATGAACCCAGCATGATTTCACAGTCCCTCTCTTCTCAGGCCCCCCGAAACGAGACTGTTGAGATCTTTATACTTGCAATTAAGCCCAGGCAACTTGGTGGGAAGGTTTATCCGCCAACAAAAGCAGGATGGCTTTGTTAACTGATGGGCTTCCATCCTTGATTCCTGTCCTGCCTTCTCTTGCCTCCTCCAAGCAGGGCTGGGCTTGACCCATTGGCAACTTCTGTGGGGGTGTCTGAAGTTACTGAGTCCCGTTTCCCTGTGGTGGATCTTCCCCCTTCTGAGTTTACCCCATAGGCCTCTGCTTGCCTTTCCTCCATGCCATATCAAGCCAACATCACTGTAGGCCAAGTGTCCTTGATGTTGGATCTACTGCCTTTTGGGGCAGACCATCCAGGACTTCCTACAGTTTTGGCTGGATGGGTCACCTGATCCCAAAAGATCCCAGAGCGGATCTGAGAGTTGTCCCATGTCCTGGCCATCCACAGTCATTTTATTTTTGGGGTTGTCGCGGTCATCCTTTGAAAAGGAAGTGTTTGACCCAAATCTAGGCATTGCACAAATTCTATTACGGAAGGAACATTTTGATTTTTCTGCCCTGATGCCACCAGCCGAATCGGTTCAACGGCAAGGTTTTGGCACGCTTCTCCAAAACTCTGCATGCAGACAAAAGAAGGATTCAACACGCTCTTTTTACGATTGTTTTTTTAATTAAAAACAAACAAACAAACAAAGCGTTTTCTATTAGGAGTCCATTTATTAATTTTTGTCCATTTGCTGGCAGTTTTTCGATGTAGTGGAACTGTGTCTTTATTGATGGTCTGTCTTCAGGATAAATGGCTCTTCTATTTATCTATTTTTTTCCCTGTCCTGGGGGGGAGGGGGATATGAATCCCCCTTTCCCTGCCCTGTACCAGCTGCTGGGAGGAATGAGTAACAACCCAGAACGCCCCCCATCCCCATTCACAATGGCTTTGTGACTTCATGGACCTTGGCTTGGCCTGACCCAACCTTCCGATTTTTCTTCAGTTCCACTTCCAGATAACTGGGAGCTGTTGAAAGAGATTGATTTGCTGTCATGATGGGATGTCCTAGACAGGTGTCTCTTTCCTCCTCCCTCTGCCCTTAGTCCAACCCCAGGTGTTTAATGGCCTCCAGGTCTTGATGTCAGGAGAAACCTGTGTTTCCGGGTAAAAGTGAGCGGGCGTAAGTTGGTGTTGGCCCCTTGTTGGGCCAAGAAAGAAATCCAAGCGAGAAGAAGTCAATTACCTTTAGAGGAAGGTCTCATGTTAGACACAGATTCCACCCTACATTCATCTTTCTTCACCCCTACCTCCTCTGTGGAGCAAATCATGACCTATTGTATCTCCTCAACCTTACGTAGGACCTCCTTACTAACCTTTCACCACCGTTGATGGACAGGCATGACCATTTTCTACCCATGGTTTTCCCAAACTGGTCCTCTCCTTCTCTTCCTCCACCCCAGCTCCTCTTTCCATTCTTCTCTCTCCTTCTCCCCCTTCCTCCAACAGTTTCACTCTCACAATTGCGTCCTCCAGTCAAGAGGCACAACCTTTCGAAAACACCACAGCATAACTTCTCCCCCACCCCTGTTGTTTTCCAAGGTCTTCCCTCAACCTCTTCAGCATGGCTCCTTCAGAAAGCATTAACCAGCCCTTTGAGGGGAAGCTTACCTTCCTCCAGGTGAACCATTAAGACAGAAGAAGGCCCCGGTGTGGGTCTCAAAAATCATCCGCCATTTGCATTTCCTTCGCTCTGTGTTAATGGTTACCTAACTGCACGATTAGTGAAGGAAGCTGCTAGGACCATTCATGGTTGGTGAGATGGCCTTGGAGACGGACAATCTGTAGTTGTTTTTTTCACCCCCTAACACCTTTCAAGCAAAGTCTTATGTTTACTCACCGATTGCTGTACAAAGCTTAAATCTGAGCAGATCTTTCCGCCGCATCTGGATCGTTATTTGTGAAATGCCGCTCTATAAATTTGATTAACAAATAAATAAACTCCATTCACCTTCCCGGAAGTACCAACAAACTTGTTATGATCCAAATGATCCCAGTTATCCATGGACGGTGATCAGCAGTGTCCTTCCCCTCCTAAGAGAAGGAGCTGTTTGGGGAGAGAGAGAAAGTTGGGGAGAGAAAAAAACAACCACGGCTAACTTCCTTTTTTTTCTGGAAAAAAACAAAACCAAACCAAAAAAACCCCAAACTAGAGTTGTGTCCGTGTTATGCTTGTGAGCCACTTGAGGGCTAATCCTGTTGATGACTTTGCAGCTTTTATTGGGTGTGTTACAGACCCATCACGCCAATAACCCTCCACCAAATCAGTAAAGCAGTGCTGCAAAGGTCATAAGAGGGTTGACGGTAACTGTGTGAGGCTTTGTGGTTCCTCAACAAGGCAAAGAACAGGGAATGCAAGACAGATTTTTTGAGGTTTATTCTCTTTTTCTGCTTTCTTATGCCTCGGCGGGCCCATGGTTGAATAAAGCAAGGGTCTCCAGTCTTGACAACTTTACGACTTGTTGACTTCTGGGAGTTGAAGTCCACAAGCGGTAAAGTTGCCAAGGTTGGAAACCCCTGGAGTAAAGGCATTGCTGAAAACGCAAGAAAATACAAATACACAATGCAAAACTATACGTTGCCCTTCCGACCACAATTTCCATTGTAGTACTCTTCCCTTGCAAAACTGGCTCTTCCCAGCTAGCAGTCTCCTTGTGTGTGTTCAATCACACTCAACAGTTGCTTCCTTTCCCCAAAAGCAAAGCTGGAGAAACAGCAGTTGTTCTGGAGAACTTTTTTTTTTTCCAGAAGAACACACAAACACACCTTTAGCTCCCCCCCCCAGTTGCTTCTTTCTCAAGAGCTTAAGGAAGCTCTTTGCTCACCTTTGAAAAGATTGTAATTCTTATTGCAACTTCAAAACACAATATTGGCTTGCCTTAAAAAAGAATTAAAAAATGATGTGGTTGGTCACCATCTCAGCACCATCCATCCAAAGCTGAAGATGTGAACTGCCTGGGTCCTGGTTGGACTTGTGCCAGTTTAGCAGGTTTGGTAGGCAAAACTTCTTAAAAGTTCTGGATGCAGAATCTTCTCCAGAGAGCCTCTGATCTGATGACCAGGGATGAGTCCAAGAATTGGTTCACATATCTCTCTCAGCAGATGTCTTCCCCCAAAAAAATTCTTCTACCTAACGGACAGACAAAGTATTTTATTGTTTGCTGCAGTCCATCCATGTCTTATCTCAAAAGGTAGAGAAGGGACAAAACCAACAGACTTGCCTCCTTAAAACGGTTGTGGGCCACGCCAACGTACAAGGCTTCCGAAGAAAAAGAGGGTAAATGTCAGTGATCTGTTGCTGTCTTATCCAAATTGTGAAGATGTCCAGCAGAAAGAACATTTAAAATATCAAAAGTTCTCTCTGCAGGTTCCTGATTTTCCATGCATCCTGGTTCCGAGGGGTTCTGAGTATTGCTTTGATGAAAAAGTAGAGGAACCTACATAACCGAACGTAGAGACTTTTAGAAAGCAGCCCTCGAGAATTTTTCAAGTCTCTCTGCTTCCATGATGGTTTAATGTTCCTTTTGCCTTGAGAAATCACAGCTGGGAATGATTCAAAGCACCACACTTTGTACGGTCTGCCCCAAGTTCTTTTTAACCAATTAATAAGATCCCAGATTGTCTGCAAACGCTGGAAAAAAAATAGCCTCTGTTTTGCTTCTTGTACACACGCCTATTTACGACTATTTTTTTGAAAAAAAAGAAGAACCTGGCATATGTGTAAAAAAAAAATACGGTGCCTCCTTGATATGACAAAAATTATGGAGAGTGGCCTCACGCTTTTCTCCGACAAGCTTATTGGGCGGGGCTCCTGCCTTTGCTGTAGAAGTCAGTGCAATTCTGGGCGTCTTATTAAAAACTCTTCTGTCTTGCTGGCATTTGTTCTGTGTTTGGGGCGACAGAATTGTCCGCTTGATCCAACTCTGCATGTCTCTTTTTGTTTTCTCTCATATTCCCATTTTCCCAGTAGACAGTGTCCCGGTGAAAGAGCCTTCGGATTTACTCAACAGGCAAAAATGCCTCGAAGCTTTGGCGTCTCTGCGACACGCCAAATGGTTTCAGGTTGGGCTTTTTGTTCTTACCTATCGTAGCCTTTTCGAAAGTTTCTTATTTTGTTTTTTGTTTTTAAAAAATAAATCATAGTTGTTTAGGTTGGACACCCTGCAGACAAGAATGGGGCAATTCTGGTTTTTTTTTAGGCCAGAGCGAATGGACTCAAATCCTGTGTGATTGTGCTACGGATCCTGAGGGATTTATGCAACAGAATTCCTACTTGGGCTCCCTTGAAAGGCTGGGTGAGTGTTGCTTAGTCCACCTTTGCAAAGTTTTCTGTTTGCAAAAAAAATTTTTTAGTTTGTCTCTTCTGATTTTTTCCTCCTCAGCGCTTGAGATCCCTGATAAAACTGCCTTTAAAACCAGCCAGTTCCTTTTGTAAAAAAAAAAAAAATCATCCTTGACAATTGTTGACTGCAGATATTAGTACCTTCTATGGGGTTAGGTCAGGGGGTCGGCAACCTTAAACACTCAAAGAGCCACTTGGACCCGTTTCCCACAGAAAAGAAAACACTGGGAGTGCAAAACTCCAGCGCAGGGGGCTTGATTGGAGAGTTTAATTAAAAAGAAATAGAGGCTGCTATGCATGAGTTCTCCCCCCCTCCCTCCCTCCCTCTCTTTCTCTTCCTTCCCCCCTCTCTCTCCCCCCTCTCCGATCTTCTGCTCACCTGGTCAACTAGCCTGACGCTGTTCTCCGACAAGCTGGCACACATTCTTATTGGGCTGGCTCTCTCCTGCCCTTATTCTGCCAGTCCTTTTCCCCCACTCAGTGTGAGTGTGTGTGTGTGTGTGTGTGTGAGAGAGAGAGAGAGAGAGAGAAAGAGAGCTGCTGCTTTCTGCCGAGACGGAGCAAAGGCAGGAGCCCCGCCCAATTAGGCTGTCAGCTTGTCGGAGAACAGCGTGAGGCCACTCTCTTTTTTATACACACACCCACACACACACAGAGAGAGAGAAGGGAAGCGCAAGTGCCTCTCTCTGCAAATGGCGGAGGAGGCTGGGAGCTGCAGGGGAAGGCTCAAAGAGCCACATGCGGCTCCGGAGCCGCAGGTTGCCGACCCGTGGGTTAGGTTATCTGTCCATGAGACAGAATCTTCAGGGCAAGCACCCAGTTCAACAACACCTCAAGAGCTATCCGCGACCATCCATGGTCCAGGATTGTCTCCTAAGCTAGGTCTGTTGAAAACAAAGAGCATCAGTTCCAAGATTTATTCCATTTGGTGGGCAGGTTTCCACGCCTGTGAGGAGAGGACCACAAAATAGTTTCCTGCAAGGAAGCGTCTGGCCCAAAAGTGATGGATCCAGTACAGAGGTCCTAGCTTTTCCCACTGGAGGTGCACCAGTAGAAGAGAAAATATCTAGCTCAGGGTTGAACAGTGGAGGTCTTGGTGCCTTCTGAGCTTGCTTGTTGGCTTGCAGATGTTTCATTACCCAACTGAGTAACATCAGCGGTGAGGGGCATCTCTGCTACCGTGCAGTTTCCTTCCCCCTATCCTGGAATATTACTAGAATATTTTTTTTTACATATTCCACACAAGGGATTTTTCTCCCAGGTCCCAAATTGATCGATTGCCAATGCAGTGTTCTCTACAGAAATAATGTTTTTTTATGTTCTGATGTAAAGATTGAATCTAGATCACATGGTAGTGCCACTGTGCCCATTGTACGCTCAGTGGTGGGTGGGTCTCATAACACCAGTTGCCAAAAGAGGATGGCGAGGTTACGATTCTCCTTGGGTGGATCCAACGTTCAGATATCTCCAAGAAGATGGCGGGATTTCTAAGATGGATAGAAATTATTTGGTGCCTTTCTGACCTCGTGGCTGGGCTTGCCTTGTCTGCCCATCCGTCTGTTTGTCTTCCTATGATGTTTTTATACCATTAGTACTGACACCATCCAGTTGTCTTTCAGCCCTTGGAGCTGCTGTGCGAGAAAGCCATTGGCACCTGCAACAGGCCGCTGGGTGCCGGAGAAGCTCTCCGGCGAGTGTTGGAGTGTTTGGCCTCGGGCATTCTGTTGCCAGGTAAGATCTGCCAAGCTCTTCCTCGGAGGTTGACCAGTCGTGCATTGATGGATCATTCTAGCATGTCCAATCTCCTTTTGGAGAGCGGCCTTCTGGTTTGCTGATCCTGCGAGTTCGGAAGATGTGCGGCCTTCTCTGAGTAGGAGAACAATAAAACTGCCCTCAAAGCCAGCCAGTTCCTTTTGTTTCTGCGGCCCACTGGCCAAGAGCCCACAGCCCAATTCCGGGCCACGGACTATAGGTTGGGGATCCCTGGTGTTTTCCTCCCGCATAGCTCTTTTTTGTTGTTCTGTGGCATCGTGGTTGTGCTTTTTGAGGGCCGTTGGAGAAGGATGAGGGTTGAACTCCTTCCTTGTGTCTAGGTGGGCCCGGTGTGCATGACCCCTGTGAGCGAGAGCCAATGGATGCCTTGTTTAGCCTGACTGTTCCACAAAGGGAAGCCATAACCCATAGTGCCCAGGTAAAATGTGCCAGCCACCTAGGTTGGTCTCCTTTTCCCCTCCAACAATGGAGAACGAGTGTCTTCACGGATTAAAGACACCCAAAGCCGTTTCTTGGGGTGATGGGTTGAAAGCCACCCAATTTCTGGAGCAGAGTTCTCTTTGGCCTCGGAGTGGGGCTGAATCGCCAAATAATGTCCTTCTAGGTTTGACCCATTTTGTTTTTTTTCCCCACAGCATGCCCTGAGACTCTCGGCTTTTGGCCAAATCTACAAGGTGCTGGAGATGGACCCTCTCCCTTCCAATAAGCTGTTCCAGAAATATTCGTGGCCGGGGGCCGACAAAGAAGGTAGGTGCACCTGAAGGCAGGACAAGAAGCAACGGATGGAAACTAATCAAGGAGAGAAGCAACCTAGAACTAAGGAGAAACTTCCTGACAGTTAGAACAGTTAACCAGTGGAACAGCTTGCCACCAAAAGTTGTTGATGTTTCATTACTGGAGGTTTTTAAGAAGAGATTGGACAGCCACTTGACTGGGATGGTCTAGGGCAGGGGTAGGCAACCGTGGTTCTTTTATGACTTGTGGACTTCAACTCCCAGAATTCCTGAGCCACCATGAGGGAAACTTTGGCCCCTTCATGACTTGTGGACTTCAACTCCCAGAATTCCTGAGGCAGTATGGCTCAGCTTGGAAACCTCCCTTTCCCCTCAGCATGGTTGCCTCAGGAATTCTGGGAGTTGAAGTCCACCAGTCATAAAAGAGCCCAGGTTGCCTACCCCTGGCCTAGGCCTAGGCCCCTTCATGACTCGTGGACTTCAACTCCCAGAATTCCTGAGCCAGCATGGCTCAGCTTGGAAACCTCTCCCTTTCCCCTCAGTATGGTTGGCTCAGGAATTCTGGGAGTTGAAGTCCACAAGTCATAAAAGAGCCAAGGTTGCCTACCCCTGGTATAGGGTTTCCTGCCTGAGCAGGGGGTTGGACTAGAAGACCTCCAAGGTCCCTTCCAGCTCCGTTATTCTGTTCATTCTCCCTTTCCTCAACAGCCGATCTTCATCGCAGTCTGTTCCAGCGATACAATCACGGACTAATTAATTGCAACTAATTGACTATGTACTGGAAAATTATAATCTCCACGACGTTTTTAAACTCCCTCATTGATTCGTTTATATTTTACTTTTTATTTCTCCTCTTTGAGGGCTTTTTATGTTTGTTTATATATATTTTAATAAGAGATTCCCCCCCTCCCAAATAACCCCCCCTATCCCGCATCCAAAGAGTAGTTCCCACAGCCAATCTTTCTTGATGCAAAAGTTTGTTTTTTTCAATGTCTGTGGAGATTCTCCGTCCTCTAGGTCATGGTTGTTCCCAAAGGTGCTTTTTCAGGAGACAACTGGACTTTCTGATTTTTCTTTGAAGACATTTCGCTTCTCATCCAAGAAGCTTCTTTGGCTCTCACTGGAAGGTGGGGAATGGAAGGATTTATACTCCTTACATGCTCCCGAATGGATTTCCAGAAAACATTGCAGACTGCGGGAACTGTTTGTGGTTCAGTTTGAGATGCAGACTCTTCCCCAACAGCCTGCGCCCGTCTCCAACAGGGAAGGGACCCCAAGGCAGAAGCCTCCACTCCCATTTGCACCGCTCAGGTGACCCTGAGGACACAGGTAAAACCTCCAAGTGGCCTCAACGACTCTCTAAAAGGAGTATAAATCTTTCCACTCCCCCACCATCCCGTCAGAGCTGAAGAAGCTTCTGGGATGAGAAGCGAAACGTCTTCAAAGAAAAAAACAAGAAAGTCCAGTTGCCTCCTGAAAAAATCACCTTTGGGGTGTTTTTTTCAACGCTGTTTCCGTGGCTCAGCTGCAGCGTATCCATCCGCGCCGCTCACCTCTTCCTTTTATGCAATTAAAAAATAATAATAATTTTCTCTTTCTAGGCCCAGTTTCCTCTGCCCTCAAGAGGCCTTTTGAAGACGGGTTGGGGGACGAGAAAGACCCCAGTAAGAAAATGAAGAGGAATCTGAGGAAAAGTAAGGATGCGTTCTTCTCCCCGTTCATTATCGCCATGTAGTTTATTTCCCAGCTGCCCTTCGTTTCCCTTCCATTGTTCTTGCAATGGGGAATTTCTTTTTTCTTTTTTAATATACATTTTATTGGGTTTTTTAATTTTAACATCAAAGTGCTCAGGAAAACACCGTCGTGAAAGGGTAATCAATCATCACAAAACAAGTCATATATATATATAACTAAAATTAATACCTTAAAAAAAATTCCACCCTCTATTTCCTCACATGACATAACAAATTTAGTTTAATCTATTTCTTCTTAAAATTCAATCAATCCACAGAATCATCCCTACGATTACATCTACATAAATCACTCCTGCTTTTAAGCTCCACTAATTTCAATTAAAATATTCCAGTTGATCTTAAACAAACATATTAATAAAATTTTGGGTATCCCTTCTACAACACACATCATATTCCAAGAATAACATTCTAATATTTTCACATATATTCCATCTCTTAATTTAATACATCATTAATTAATACCCTTTCTTCTCTTATCGTAGATCTCTCTAATTCTTCTGCTATTACAAAATAGTTTTCTATATAAACAGAGTAAAAAAAACCCAAAAAAAAGAGAATCATTTCGACCTGTTAAGTAAAATTTAACTCTCAACCAAATTAACTATCGTATCTAAGACAAACATATTATTACACCAATTATTATCTTACTGCTTTCATTACAATGGGGAATTCCTGGTCCTCGTTTATTGACTGCCTCCTTTGGCCACTGTTTGCAATTAACGACGGTGAGGTAAAAGTCACTTGGCAACCGGTCTTTGCATTTACAGCCAGTTTACAACGCAAAGGAAAACTGAAGTAAGACGGCGAACCCAGTCATGGTTTCACTCAGCGATTGCTTCGCTTAAGGACCGAGTTCCAATTGTGGACACTAAATGAGCCCTTTGAATATTTCCAGTGCTTGGCAGAAGATGCTTTTCTTTGCGTCATGAATCGGCCACAATCAGCTCTGATTTCACCTGTTTGGCTTCTCTCTAGTCAACAAATAAACTAGAACAATCCCTATTTTCTCTGTATAAAAATTACTAGATTCTTTTTTTCCAAACCTCAATTTAGTCACTTTGGATTCGGATAAAACCTTTGCCATTTTGCAAGTGCTGGGTATTAAGCTTTCAAACAAATTTCAAACTTCGCCTGAGAGGTGATTTCAGGGAATTAAATTTAACGAATAAATACATTAAATACATGAATGAATGAACGAATGAATGAATGAGAATGAGAAAGAAAGAAAGAGAAAGAAAGAAAGAAAGAAAGAAAGAGAAAGAAAAGAAAGAAAAAGAAAGAGAAAAAGAAAGAGAAAGAAAGAGAAAAAGAAAGAAAAAAGAGAAAGAAAGGAAAGAAAGAAAGAAAGAAAAAGAAAGAAAGAAAGAAAAAGAAAGAAAAGAAAAGAGAAAGAAAGGAAAGAAAGAAAGAAAGAGAAAGAAAGAAAAAGAAAGAAAGAATGAAAAAGAAAGAAAGAAAAAGAAAGAAAGAAAGAAAGAAAGAAAGAAAAAGAAAGAAAGAAAAAGAAAAGATAACCTTTATTGTCATTTTTTTTACTGTGGGCACAACGGCACACATCAAAAATGAAATTTAGTTGCCCGCTCTCAAAGTAAAACACATAACACGACACACACCTAAAACATACTATATAAAACAAAAAAGAAAGGAAAATGAAAGGAAAGGAAAGAAAGGAAAAAGAAAGGAAAGGAAAGGAAAGTTGGTCCTGGAAAACATCCGCCTATTGCAGTTCTTCCATTCAGACAATAATAGGAAGTGATTGAGTGGTCTCCTTTTTCTGGATTATTTTTTTCCCCCCAATTTTCCTGACTAACCTTCAGCTCTAGGATCGCCTGGTGGTCTCCTGACCCTGCTTAGTTTCTCCGAGACAAGGGAGGGAACCTGCAAGACTCTCAATGAGCTACAGGAGTGAAGCAAAACCATTCTCCCCCCCTGTAGCCCCCTCCCAGCTTCTCCCCTGCTGAGTCTTGTCTCCGTCTTGGCTTCCTCCAACAGTCCTTGACAGCAAAGCAATAGACCTCATGAATGCCTTGATGCGGCTGAACCAGATCCGGCCCGGCCTGCAGTACAAGCTCCTCTCTCAGTCGGGGCCCGTCCACGCCCCGGTCTTCACCATGTCCGTGGACGTGGACGGGACGACCTACGAAGCCTCAGGACCTTCCAAGAAGACGGCCAAGCTTCACGTGGCCGTAAAGGTGAGTCGGCCGGGTTTTTGGGACTAGGGGTTGAATTCCTGGCTTGGCCTCTTGCCGAACGAAACGGTCTCCCGATAACGCAATTTACGCAGGTGTTGCAAGCGATGGGCTACCCCACCGGCTTCGACGCAGACATGGAATGCACCAGCTCCGATGAGAAGTCGGATACCGAAGGGAAAAATGAGACTGTGTCTTCAACCACGAGCAATAATAATGGGAATTCCACAGTTGATACCTCTGCAACCTTAGAGGTGGGTCTCCTTCCTTCCTTCCTCCTTTCCTTCCTTCCTTCCTTCTTCCCTCCCTCCCTCCCTCCTTCCCTTCCTCCCTTTCTCTCTTTTTTCTTTCTCTCTCTTTCTCTTTCTCTTTCTCTCTTTCTTTCCTTCCTTCCCTCCTTCCTTCCTTCCTACCTTCCTTCTTCCCTCCCTCCTGCCCTTTTTCTTTCCTTACTTTCTTCTTCCGTTCCTCCTTTCCTCCTTTCCTTCCTTCTTTCCTTCTTCCCTCTTTTCCTTTGTTCCTTTATTCCTTCCTTCTTCTTTCCTTCCTTTTTCCCTCCCTCTCTTCTTTCTCTCTTTCTTTCTTTCTTTCTTTCTTTCTTTCTTTCTCTTTCTTTCTTTCTCTCTTTCTTTCTTTGTTTTCTTTCCTTCCTTCCTTCTTCCCTGCCCTTCTTTCCTTCCTTCCTTCTCTTCTTTCTCTTCTTTCTTTCTCTCTCTTTCTCTCTTTCTTTCTTTCTTTTTGTTTTTTTTCTTTCTTTCCTTCCTTCCTTGTTCCCTCCTCCTGCCCTTCTTCTTTCCTTCCTTCCTTCTTCCCTCCCTCTCTTCTTTCTTTATTTCTTTCTCCCTCTCTCTTTCTTTCTTTCCTTTCTTTCCTTCCTTCCTTCCTTGTTCCCTCCCTCCTGCCCTTCCTCTTTCCTTCCTTTTTTCTTCTCTCCCTCCTTTCCTCCCTCCCTCCCTTCTTGCCTTCTTCCCTCCCTCTTTTCCTTCGTTCCTTCCTTTATTCCTTCCTTCTTCTTTCCTTCCTTCTTCTCTCCCTCCCACCCTCCCTTTTTTCCTCCCTCCCTCTTTGCATTTCTTGTTTATTCTCCATGAGATCGAAAAGTTTTCCCTTTTTCAAAACGGAAAGTGAGGTGCCAATTTCTGGGTCAGGAGAGAAAGCCCCTAAAGACCTCTTTAGGCCACTTTAGGCATCAGTGATCAAAATTGGGTTGTCTTTTGTGTGTAAAGCCATTCCAGCACGCAGTGGATGCTTCGTCTCCTGCTTCCCCCACTTTTTCCGCCACTCTCTTTTTCTCTCTCTTTGCTCTTTTTCCCAAAAGGAGAAAAAAAAAGCTAAGGCTTTTTTTAGGACCCAAATGGTTTCATCCCCCCCCCCCCCCGACTTTGGCTGCCGCAGTTTGGGTGGGCCGAGGGACGCTGTGATTGGGACACCCGGCGAGTAAGGTGATCTTCCCCTTGCTCAGCGTCAGAGCAGGCGCCTCCGAGTAACTGGAAACTTCGGCCGCCTCTCCAGTATTTCTGTCCCAGGCGGGTGGAGGGGGGGGTGTGCAACCGTCCTAGAGACGCCAAGTTATGCCGGCCTGTGGACGGCAGCCCTGAAGGAGCCGAGGGGTCCCCCAGGCTGTCACACAGTTCCACAAAGAGGGAGGTCTCCTGTGCTGGTTGCCGTTTCCTGAAAAATACGGGGGTGTCACCAGGTGTGAAAACGCTCATGAGCAGAATATTTGTAGGGAGGAAACCACGGATGGGTCCAGGAACGAACTGGATCTCCTTCTTGTGTGAATTGTGCCAGAGCCGTTTCCTGAAGGGTGGGGGTGGGGGATAGACAAATCTGGAGCTGCTCCTTCCTTCCTTGCTTTTCTCTTCTCCATCTGTCTATCTATCCATCCCTCTATCGTCTCTAATCGCCTATCTTCATTCATTCTGTCTTTCCATCTTCCCTTTCTGTTTGTCTGTCCCTCTCTCTCTCTCTCTCTCTCTTTTCTCTCTCTCTCCTCCCTCTTCCCTCCCCTCTGTCCATATTCCACTCCTTCCTTCCTTCCTTCCTTCCATCTATCCATCCTTCTATTCAGCTCTCTGTCTCTGTCTGTCTGTCTATCCACCCACCCATCATCCATCTATCTATCTATCTATCTATCTATCTATCTATCTATCTATCTATCTATCTATCTATCTATCTATCTATCTATCTTCTATCTATCATCTATCTATCTATCTAATTTCTATTATCTGTCTCTCTCTGTATCTCTCTCATCTACATCTCTCTTTTTTCTTTCTATTATCTATATTTATCTATCATATATCTATTTGTCTGTCTATTTGTCTATCTATCTGTCTGTCTGTCTGTCTATCTATCTATCATCTACCTACATGCATACATACCTATTCTCTTCTCTTCTCTTCTCTTCTCTTCTCTTCTCTTCTCTTCTCTTCTATTCCATTCCATTCCATTCCGTTCCATTCCATTCATCATGTACCTATCTACTTATTTATCGAATCTATATCTATCTATCTATCTATCTATCTATCTGTCTATCTATCTATCTATCTATCTATCTATTGTCTACCTACATGCATACATATATACCTAAATATTTATCTATTCTATTCTATTCCATTCCATTCCATTCCATTCCATTCCATTCATCATGTACCTATCTACTTATTTATCGAATCTCTATCTATCTATCTATCTATCTATCTATCTATCTATCTATCTATCTATCTATCTATCTATCTATCTATCTATCATCTATCTATCTATCTACCTATCTGTCTATCTCTTTACCTATCTATCTACCTACCTCTTTACCTACTTACCTACCTTGCACGGGATGAAACCAGGGGGGGGGCTGGCAGATCTCAAGCCCTCCCTGCTTCTCCTAGGTCCGAACTCAGGGTCCCATCCTCACAGCCAGCGGCAAGAATCCAGTGATGGAGCTAAACGAGAAGCGGCGAGGCCTGAAATACGAGCTCATCTCCGAGACGGGAGGCAGCCATGACAAGCGGTTTGTGATGGAGGTGAGGAGGGCCCCCGTCCACCCACCCACCCACCCACCCCAGGGCTTAGGATTTCCTCTGGGGGGTGACGCCCAGCCAGGGTGCCAATTGCCAATCTCGCTTCCAGGTAGAAGTCGACGGGCAGAGGTTCCGAGGGGCTGGCCCCAACAAGAAAGTAGCCAAGGCCAGCGCTGCCTTGGCGGCTCTCGAGAAGCTCTTTTCGGGCCCCAACGCGGCTGCCAATAAGAAGAAAAAGATTCTCCCACAGGTGAGAGGGGAGGGGGCCCAGGTGGATCCGGATTCCCTCTGCAAGCGTCTGAAACCAGCAGAAACCCAGAAAAATTGCATGGGGGAGGGGGAAGGCTTTGGGGTGGAGAAGAAGGGAGGGGAGTAGATCCAGCTGGGGGGAATTGAGGGAGGGGTTTGAGCAGAGCAGGAGAAGACAAACTGTGGCAATTCATGACAGCATGGGGGGGGGGAGAGAAAGCCATCTGCAGATGATGTCGTGCAGAAGGAACCTGGAACATGGTCCCCAGTTCAACTCTGCTATTCCGTTCCATTCCATTCTATTCTATTCTATTCTATTCTATTCTATATTCTATTCCATTCCATTCTATTCTATTCTATATTCTATTCTATATTCTATTCTATATTCTATTCTATTCTATTCTATATTCTTTTCTATTCTATTCTGTATTCTATTCTATTCTATATTTATGTTCTATTCTATATTCTATTCTATTCTATTCTATTCTATTCTGTATTCTATTCTATTCTATTCTATTTATTCCATTCCATTCCATATTCTATTCTGTTCTGTTCTGTTCTGTTCTATTCTATTCCATTTTCTATATTCTATTCCATTCCATTCCATTCCATTCTATTCTATTTTATTCCATTCCATTCTATTCTATATTCTATTCTATATTCTATTCTATTCTATATTCTTTTCTATTCTATTCTGTATTCTATTCTATTCTATATTTATGTTCTATTCTCTATTCTATTCTATTCTATTCTGTATTCTATTCTATTCTATTCCATATTCTCTATTCTATTCTATTCTATTCTATTCTATTCCATATTCTCTATTCTATTCTATTCTATATTCTATTCTATTTACCGTATTTTTCGCTCTATAAGACGCACTTTTCCCCCCCCAAAAGATGGGGGAAAATGTCTGTGCGTCTTATGGACCGAATGCTGCCTCCCTTCCGCGCTGCCGCCGCGCCCTCCCAAACGCCCCGCCGCGGCCCGCCGCACCCCCCCGCAGCCTCCAAAACGGCCCGCCGCACCCCCCCGCGGCCTCCCAAACGGCNTATCTATCTATCTATCTATCTATCTATCTATCTATCTATCTATCTATCTATCTATCTATCTATCTATCTATCTATCTATCTATCTATTATCTGTCTCTCTCTGTATCTCTCTCTCTCATCTACATCTCTCTTTTTTCTTTCTATTATCTATGTTTATCTATCTATCTATCTATCTATCTATCTATCTATCTATCTATCTATCTATCTATCTATCTATCTATCTATCTATCTATCTATCTATCTATCTATCTATCTATCTATAGATACCTACATGCATACATATCTATCATCTACCTACATGCATACATATCTACCTATTCTATTCTATTCTATTCTATTCTATTCTATTCTATTCTATTCTATTCTATTCTATTCTATTCTATTCTATTCCATTCCATTCATCATGTACCTATCTACTTATTTATCGAATCTATATCTATCTATCTATCTATCTATCTATCTATCTATCTATCTATCTATCTATCTATCTAATTTCTATTATCTGTCTCTTTCTGTATCTCTCTCATCTACATCTCTCTTTTTTCTTTCTTTCTATTATCTATCTATATTTATCTATCATCTATCTATATTTATCTATCATCTATCTATTTGTCTGTCTATCTATCTATCTATCTATCTATCTATCTATCTATCTATCTATCTATCTATCATCTACCTACATGCATACATATCTACCTATTCTATTCTATTCTATTCTATTCTATTCTATTCTATTCTATTCTATTCTATTCTATTCTATTCCATTCTATTCCATTCCATTCATCATGTACCTATCTACTTATTTATCGAATCTATATCTATCTATCTATCTACCTATCTGTCTATCTCTTTACCTATTTATCTACCTACCTCTTTACCTACTTACCTACCTTGCACGGGATGAAACCATGGGGGGGCCTTGCAGATCTCAAGCCCTCCCTGCTTCTCCTAGGTCCGAACTCAGGGTCCCATCCTCACAGCCAGCGGCAAGAATCCAGTGATGGAGCTAAACGAGAAGCGGCGAGGCCTGAAATACGAGCTCATCTCCGAGACGGGAGGCAGCCATGACAAGCGGTTTGTGATGGAGGTGAGGAGGGCCCCCGTCCACCCACCCACCCACCCACCCCAGGGCTTAGGATTTCCTCTGGGGGGTGACGCCCAGCCAGGGTGCCAACTGCCAATCTCGCTTCCAGGTAGAAGTCGACGGGCAGAGGTTCAGAGGGGCTGGCCCCAACAAGAAAGTAGCCAAGGCCAGTGCTGCCTTGGCGGCTCTCGAGAAGCTCTTTTCGGGCCCCAACGCGGCTGCCAATAAGAAGAAAAAGATTCTCCCACAGGTGAGAGGGGAGGGGGCCCAGGTGGATCCGGATTCCCTCTGCAAGCGTCTGAAACCAGCAGAAACCCAGAAGAATTGCATGGGGGAGGGGGAAGGCTTTGGGGTGGAGAAGAAGGGAGGGGAGTAGATCCAGCTGGGGGGAATTGAGGGAGGGGTTTGAGCAGAGAGCAGGAGAGGACAAACTGTGGCCCTTCATGACAGCATGGGGGGGGGAGAGAAAGCCATCTGCAGATGATGTCGTGCAGAAGGAACCTGGAACATGGTCCCCAGTTCAACTCTGCTATTCTATTCCATTCCATTCCATTCTATTCTATTCTATTCTATTCTATATTCTATTCCATTCCATTCTATTCTATTCTATATTCTATTCTATATTCTATTCTATATTCTATTCTATTCTATTCTATATTCTATTCTATTCTATATTCTTTTCTATTCTATTCTGTATTCTATTCTATTCTATATTTATGTTCTATTCTATATTCTATTCTATTCTATTCTATTCTGTATTCTATTCTATTCTGTATTCTATTCTATTCTATTCTATTTATTCCATTCCATATTCTATTCTGTTCTGTTCTGTTCTATTCTATTCCATTTTCTATATTCTATTCCATTCCATTCCATTCTATTCTATTCTATTCCATTCCATTCTATTCTATATTCTATTCTATATTCTATTCTATTCTATTCTATATTCTTTTCTATTCTATTCTGTATTCTATTCTATTCTATATTTATGTTCTATTCTATTCTATTCTATTCTATTCTATTCTATTCTATTCTATTCTATTCTATTCTGTATTCTATTCTATTCTATTCTATTCTATTCCATATTCTCTATTCTATTCTATTCTATTCTATTCCATATTCTCTATTCTATTCTATTCTATATTCTATTCTATTTATATTCTATTCTATTCTGTATTCTATTCTATATTCTATTCTATTCTATATTTATATTCTATTCTGTATTCTATTCTATTCCATTCCATTCCATTCTCTATTCCATTCCATTCTATCCTATCTTATCCCATCCCATCCCTATTCCTATTCCTATTCCTATTCGCATTCTATTCTTTCCGCTCCCTCCTTCAATTCATCCTGACTCCTACTCCAGGGCCAGAATCCCCCTTTGAAGGTTACAGAATAAAAGGAAGCGCGTCAACAGCCGCTGTGAGTTTTGCTGGCCTTCATCCTTCTCTGCCTCTCTCCACAGACCAAAGGAGGGCTCGTAAACACAGCCATGTCTGCAGCGGCCCGAGGGAGAGGACGAGGGGCTCCCATGCGGGGGGCGTTTGTCGGGGCAGCAGCGGCCACCAGTTACCTGGCACCAGGTAGAACCCGCCCGGGTTGTTCTGTGGTTGTTAACAGGGGAACAACAGGCACTACCATGAGGCTAAACTTCCACAGAGGAGAAGGCCTTTCCTGAGTCATCATGGCTGCTTAGATCTTTTAGAGCAGGGGTCTCCAACCTTGGCAACTTTAAGACTTGTGGACTTCAACTCCCAGAATTCCTCAGCCAGCTTTGCTGGCTGAGGAATTCTGGGAGTTGAAGTCCACAAGTCTTAAAATTGCCAAGGTTGGAGAGTCCTGTTTTAGAGGGCTGAAATCCCATTTTTAATTAAATTGTGGTTCCCAAACTATTCCTATCACCAACCCCAAGTCTTTGCAGCATGCAGGCTTCTGTTACCTGGTTAGGGTGTTACCTCGTTTAGGGTAAAAGACCCAGCACCCCCAGAAGAAAAAAAACAGGAGTTATCCACAACATACAGGGTAAGGAGTGCAACAACCACTATGTAGGACAAATAGGCAGAAGATGGGCAGAAGGCATCCAGGAACACCAACTGGCAGTCAAAAGGCCCGGCGAAAAATTTTTAATTTCACAACACAGAGACAGATTCAACCATAGTTTTAATTGGGAAAGTGTGACCCTCCTAGACCAGGCCGAATCCAAAAATGCCAGGCAATTTCTGGAAGCCCGGCACTCTGACAAACCAGCCATCAATAGGCACATAAGACATGAACAACCTCTATAGATGATGCAAAAGAGACAATCAACCAGCTCCAAAGAGAAAAAGACCCCAGCCCACCATCAGGAAAGCAGATCAGCCTAGATTCGCTCCAAGGTCACCTTCAGACCAAGAATCAAGGAAGGAAGACCCCAATCCAGAAACGCCACAGAGCCATTAGTAAACAGCCCAAGCAAAGAATCCCTAAGACCCCCACCCACCCAGACAGGCAAGACCCCAGAATATAAACCGACAGCAAACTAGCACTCCTGACTAGAATAGAAATAGAAATAGAAATAATAATAATAATAATAATAATAATAATAATAATAATAATAATAATAATAATGAGAAGAAGAAGAATAGAATAGAAATAATAAGAATAAGAATAAGAAGAGGAAGAATAGAAATAGAAATAGAAATAGAATAGGAATAATAATAATAATAATATAATAATAATAATAATAATAATAATAATAAGAAGAAGAAGAAGAAGAAGAAGAAGAAGAAGAATAGAATAGAAATAATAAGAATAAGAATAAGAAGAATAGAATAGAAATAGAAATAGAATAGGAATAATAATAATAATAATAATAAGAAGAAGAAGAAGAAGAAGAAGAATAGAATAGAAATAATAATAAGAATAGAATAAGAAGAGGAAGAATAGAATAGAAATAGAAATAGAATAATAATAATAATAATAATAATAATAATAATAATAATAATAATAATAATAACAATAATAATAATAAGAATAAGAATAAGAAGAAGAAGAAGAAGAAGAAGAAGAAGAAGAAGAAGAAGAAGGTAGAATAGAATAGAAATAATAAAAATAAGAGGAAGAATAGAATAGAATAGAAAATAGAATAGAATAGAATAGAATAGAATAATAACCTTATTGTCACTTTAAATGTACACTAATCAGCGTACATTAAAATGAGATTTTGTTACATACACTGCATAAACATAACCAAAAAAAAAGTATGCATATACCCACATACACACCACAGGCCCAGAGAAACAACGCAGTCTAGTTCTGATGTACGCATAGACATAGTCTATGTGTTCAGATGACCACACGACAGGCGGGCACCTCTGGCCTTGCCCGTTTCCTCCTCCGTGCCCACCGGGGGGGACCTGTCACCATTTCCCTCTGCTTCCCTTGCAGGATACGCGGCACCCTACGGATACAACGCAGCAGCTGCCGCCGCACCGGCTTATGGTACGTCCTGCCCTTTTCCTTGTCTACCATATATATCTCCCCATTCTCAGGCCAGGGGGGAAGGCAAGGTGTGTGTGGGGGCTCCTCGGGCCTCGCTGGACGGCCATCAGCCAAGCTGCTCTTCTCGCTGTGGCTTGTTCCTCTTGGTTTGCTTCTGCCTGACCGCCAAAGAGCTGCTTATCCTAACTGCCTGCTCCCTCCCTCCCTTCCTCTCCCCCCCCCCCCCCCCCGTGCCGGACCTGGTAGCCCATGTCTTCCTCGCCTTCGGAATGGCCATTTTATGCTCCATTCAAAGCCACTCAAAGGGCCAAGTCTTCGTCCTGTCTCAGAGTCCATGTTGGCTTCTCTCCCGCCTGCCCTCCAGGGTCCTCTCTGGTTCACCAAGGTCCTGAGATGCTGTAGGCTTCCCATGGGCATGTGGGACCCCCTCCGAGGGTGGGCCTTCCCATTGCATCTCCCATCGTTCCCCAGTCTGTCTGGGGGCAGATGGGAACCGCCCAGCCTCCTGTCTGGAGGGACACCAGATTGGAGAAAGGGACTGCCACCGCACAGCCCGCGTGGCCCTTGATGTTTGTGGCCCCCAGGAGAGGAGAGGGGTCCTGTTTGTGGGCGCCCGGTCTAATCCTGCAGAGTCCAGAGGCCCAGATTTTCAGCCACGAGGCCCTAGCAGCTTTGCCCTGCTTCCAAGAGCCAGGGAAGCCATTTTGGAATTGGTAGAAGCCAATGCTTCTTCCTTGGAATTCTCTTTAAGAATTCCCCTGCACCTCAACTTACGACCACGACCGAGCCTGAAATCCCTGTGGCTGTGTGAAACCTTTCTTCAGTGAATTTTGCCCCCAATTTACGGCCCGTTGTTAAGCGAGTCACTGCCGTTGATAAGTTAGCAACCCGGTTGTGAAGTGAATCTGGCTTCCCCCCCCCCCAGGGCTCGTCAGAAAGTCGCAAAAGGAGGATCACATGACACACACACGCACGCACGCACACACACACACCCGGGGACATCGCGACCGTCGTAAATAGGAACCGGTTGCCAAGCGTCTGAATTTTGACCAGGCGACCATGGGGGAATGCTTTAATGTAAGGGTGAAAAATGGTCGCAAGGGTGAAAAACGGTCACAAATCACCGTTTTTCCAGCGACGTAACTTTGAACGGGTCACTAAACCAACCGTTGTAAGTCGGGGGACTCCCTGTGCGGTGTGTCCTGACCCCACGATTCTTGGAAAACCCGCCCGTTGCCATAACCGTGCTCCCCTCTCCCCGTTTTTCCCCCTCCCCAAGACAGGGTGGTCTTGCCCCCAACTGGCCTTGCTGGGGTCTGCCCTTCTTCGCTCCCCATCCTCAGCAGGTCTTGGACGGGGACCCTCCCCGCAGCGCTTGATTTTGAAAAACCTGGATCGTTTTTTAAAAAAGGATTGGCCCTTTGATGACTTTGAATGTAGTTTTATGCCGTGAAGAGAGGAGAACGGCCTTTGGAGTCAGCGATGGCTGCAGCTGCCCGTTGTGTCTCTGCATGATCCGCTCGCCCACTTCCAGTCTGCTCTTGGAGGGGACTCTGCACGGAAGTGCGACGGCATTGCCGGATCCTTCTGGAGGGGAGGGAAGCCCAGGGGAGCCGATGGGTTAGCGCGAGGGCCCCCTGACTGTGCACCCCGGAGGTTTGAACTCCAAATTCTAAAGCAAGCTGGTTGAATTGCCGCTTGTCCCGGCTCTAATCTTACCAACTTCCCTAAGGAAGAAATAAACACTCTGCACAAACAGTTTGGGTGGGTGGGGTGGGGGGCAGGCAGCTGAGAGATGCTGGAAATAAATTGAGTCAAGCGAAGGTTTGGAGTTGGGAGAAAGTTTTAACTCCCAGGACTTTGTTGAGAATGTTTTCTTTGACTGGACAGTCCCTCTTCCTCCGTGCCTTGGGAAGGAGCTGGAGGTTATCTGGGAAAGGCATGGGACTGTCCAGTCTGCTCTCCCCATTTTCTCTCTCACCTAACCCCAAATTGTGAATAGAATAGAATAGAACAGAACAGAACAGAACAGAACAGAATAGATGATAGACAATAGAATAGATGATAGACAATGGAATGGAATAGAATAGAATAGAATAAAATAGAATAGAATAAGAAATAGAATAGAATAAGAAATAGAATAGAATAGAGTAGAATAGAATAGAATAGAATAGATGATAGAGAATAGAATAGATAGAGAGTAGCTAGAGAATAGAATAGGGTAGAATAGAATAGAATAGAAAATATGGAATAGAATAGAGTAGAATACAGTAAAATACAGTAGAATACAGTAGAATAGAATAGGAAATAGAATGGGGAATAGAATAGAATAGAATAGAATAGAATAGAATAGAATAGAATAGAATAGAATAGAATAGAATAGAAGAGTTGGAAGGGACCTTGGAGGTCTTCTAGTCCAGTCCCCTTCTCAAGCAGGAGAACCTATACCATCTCAGACAAGTGACTGTCTTCTTAAAAACCTCCAGTGATGGAGCACCCACAACATCTGGTGGCAAGCTGTTCCACTGGTTAATTGTCCTCACTGTTAGGAAGTTTCTCCTTAATTCCAGGTTGCTTCTCTCCTTGATTAGTTTCCATCCATTGTTTCTTGTCCTGCCCTCTGGTGCGTTGGAGAATAACGTGATCCCCTCTTCTTTGTGGCCACCCCCTCAAATACTGGAGTACTCCTATCATGTCACCCCTGTTTCTTCTTTCCTTTAGGCTAGCCAACCCCAAGTCCTGCAGCCGTTCTTCATATGAATAGTCTCCAGGCCTTGGATCATCTTAGTTGCTCTTCTCTGAACTTTTCCCAAAGTCTCAACATCTTTTTTGTAGCATGGTGACCAAAATTGGTTGCAGGATTCCGGGTGTGGCCTTACTAGGGTTTTATAAAGCGGTGCTAATATTTTGCATGATCTTCATTCTATCTTGATTCTCTGAGGTTGTAAAGAGAAGCTCTCAAAAGATGGCTCAAGTCACCCCTACTCAGAGTAGAGCCCCCCAGCCCAACGCCAGTCAAACTGTTGGCTGGCCCCTGGAATTTTTTTCCCAGTTCATAAATTACAATTAATCAGTGGAACAGCTTGCCTCCAGAAGTTGTGGGTGCTCCATCAGAGGTTTTGAAGAAGAGATTGGACAAACCATTTGTCTGGAATGGTCTGAGATCTTCTGCCTGAGCAGGGGGTTGGACTAGAAAACCTCCGAGGTCCCTTCAAGCTCTGTTTACTCTGTTATTCCTCAGATTTCTCTGAAGCTCATGAAAGCAGCTGCTTTTTAATAAGACCCATTAAAATGTCTGCATTGCAAAATATGGTACTGATTTAGAACTACCAAACAACACCCCCCCCCAGCCCTCCTTCAGACATTCCTTCAAGTCTTAGGAATTTGTGTATCTCCAACTTGTGCAAGATCAGAAAAAAATGCCTTACAGAATAACAGAGTTGGAAGGGATCTTGGAGGTCTTCTAGTCCAACCCCCTGCTCAGGCAAACTTGGCTCTTTTATGACTTGTGGACTTCAATACCCATGCTGACTCAGGAATCCTGGGAGTTGAAGTCCACAAGTCATAAAAGAGCCCAGGTTGCCTACCCCTGGTCTATACCATTTGATTTAACTTCACAAGAGTTTTCTACTGACATAAGCAACTGGTCTGTTCTGTGACCCACTGGCTGATTTACATGTTGGCCACACATGTGTGAAAAGGACCCCACTCTGATTTCTCCCATCTTCCTGCAACCATGAATTTATCCCAGGCACTATGGGCTATCTATCTTCCTTGCTCGATCTCATAATGTCCCACTAATCACATGAAGCAACTGCCCCAAGAATGGAACAAACCCAGAGGGATCAGGCTGCAAAAGTTCCAATGGATTTCGTTCAAAAATACGCAGGAGCAATGAAGTAAAATTTTTCTCTATATAAATGATGGTATGCTTAATTGAAGTATCAATTGAGGCGTTCCTATTAAAAAAGGCTGGGACCCACGGCCTCGGCAATTTAGAGAAATTGGAGAGAAGCAATCTGGAATTAAGGAGAAAGTTCCTAACAGGGAGGACAATTAACCAGTGGAACAGCTTGCCACCAAAAGTTGTGGGTGCTCCATCACTGGAGGTTTTTAAGAAGAGACTGGACATTCACCTGTCTCAGATGGTATAGGATCTCCTGCTTGAGCAGGAGGCTGGACTAGAAGACCTCCAAGGTCCCTTCCAGCTCTGTTCTATTCTATTCTATTCTATTTTTCTATATTTCTGTTCTGTTCTATTTTTCTGTATATTCTATTCTAGTCTATTTATTCTATTCTATTCTATTCTACTTACTCTACTCTACTCTACTCTACTCTACTCTACTCTATTCTTTCTATTCTATTTCTATTTCTATTCCATTCTTCTATTCTACTCTACTCTACTCCACTCTACTCTACTCTACTCTACTATTTCTATTTCTATTTCTATTCCATTCCATTCTTCTATTCTATTCTATTCTATTCTATTCTATTCTATTCTATTCCTTAATTCTATTCTATTCTATTCTATTCTATTCTATTCTATTCTATTCTATTCCTTAATTCTATTCTATTCTATTCCTTAATTCTATTCTATTCCTTTATTCTATTCTATTCTATTCTATTCTATTCTATTCTATTCTATTCTATTCTATTCTATTCTATTCTATTCTATTCTATTCTATTCTATTCTATTCTATTCTATTCCTCTCCTGCCCGTGCTAACTGAAGCGGTCCATGGCTGACTCCAAACAGTTTATGCAGAGCAATGCTTACCTCCCTCTCTGCATAAACAACTCTTGACGGGTCCCCTTCGTTGGTTTTTGTTTCTGTCCTTTGGAAATGTCTGATCGATTAGTTGGTTGGTTGGTTAATTAGTCGCTTGATTGTGGTGCTGAGGTTTGGGGCCGCTGCTCCTGATTTTGCGACCCCACCCACCCCTCTCCTTTTCTCTCTTCTCTGCCTGCGTGGAGCTGTTTGCATGTTGGGGAAAAAAAATCACTCTGACCATGTTTGATCCTCTTTGGAAAAAAAAACCCTGCTGTTGCTGCTTTTTGATTTCTAAAAAAACGGACAAGTAGGGGGAAATGATTCAGAGAGAGAGAGAGAGAGAGAGACCGTCCGTCAGGGAAGTCTTCTCGTTTTGGTACTTTTCGCTTAAACAAAAAAAAAACCCCGAGCATCTCCCCAAGATTCTTGCGAGGCCACAAGAATTTTTTTTAAAACTAGGGCAAAGAAAGACCTCCAAAAACACCCTGCCCTCCATCGATCAATCCAGGAACGCATCGGCCACTCTGGGTTGGAAGCCAGGCTGTGCAGTATGGGTTTGCTGGTCTGATCAGTCAGACTTTGCCGGCCTGGTGGGCTTGGACCTGCCAAGCTCTTGGAATTGGTCACTTAGTATGATCCCTGTTCTCATGATGAGAAGTCCGTTGGGAAGGAAGGGATCTCTTCGATCTTGGGAACGGTGATGGAGGGGACTAACGTTGACCCACAGACACCTCTATCTTTAGATGTTGAGTCAGACTTTGCCAGCCTGGTGGGCTTGGACCTGCCAAGCTCTTAAAGTTGGTCGCTTAGTTCTCATGATGAGAAGTCCTTTGGGAAGGAAGGGATCTCTTCGATCTTGGGAACGGTGATGGAGAGGACTAACGTTGACCCACAGACACCTCTATCTTTAGATGTGGGGAAGAATTAGGAGACCCAATTTGCTTTCCTTCTACTCCTTCCTTTTCTAGCTTACCTTTCTTGGACATTTAGATTTATCCCAGTGCTTTCTTCCATAGGTCTTCCCAAGAGAATGTTCCTGTTGCCAGTTATGAAATTTCCTACCTTTCCAATGCCCCATTATTCGTTCTTTTAGCCATCGGCTGAGACTCTTTATCCGGCTTCCACACACACCAGACAGGATGTTAGAAGGAAGTGTTGAGAATCAAGACACTCAGCTTAGTCTACCTACCTTTTTTTTTAATCCTGGTTTTCTTGGAAAGACACACACAGACACACACACACACTTGAGCAAAAACCATTTGTAAAGATCCATCTTTTTTCCACTTCTTTTTTTTTTTTAAATTTTTGTTTTGACAAAACACAAACTTCGTTCTCTTAAAAAACTTGAAGAAGAAAAAAAAAAACCACACATACACGAAACTATGGTCTGTGAAAAATGGTTACCTCATTCCCCCCCCCTTCCCCTTCACCTCCAGAATAACTTATATCGACCTTTTGTTATAGAGAAGAAACTTAGACGCTTTTGTTTTTAAACCGAACGGAATCCGAATTATGTAAAACCTTAAAAAAAAACCTTGTGAAGGATGTATAGACTATACAAACGCTGATCACAAAATAAAACCAGTTTTTGTTGTAATAGAGAGTATTTTTATTTTTATTTTTTGCCTGTTTCCTAATACCAAGCCCTGGGTCCAAATCTTTTTATCATTTTAGGGTTTATGTGATGCAGTGTTTTTGTTTTGGGATATTTTTTTGTGTTGTGGGGTTGTTGTTTTTTAAAGGAATTGACACGCCAATAAATTACTGCTTAAGGAAGCTGAAGGGTTAGTTTTATAATCAAGGAAGTTTCTGTAATCTGGTTGATTCTTTGAGAGATTGCCTCTTAAGGTTAGCAGTGCATTAGGGCTTTGGGGGGGGGGTCTCTCCCAGGACACCTACCTCCAAACCAAGGGCATTTCCCACGACTTTGTGCATAACGGGGATAAGTAAGACTGCCTTACCTGTGATTTTTGCACCTGGCCATCTTTACCTGTGGCTTTCTCCTCAGGCCCTTGTGAATCAGGGATTTTAATGTTGGAGTCTCAGCGACCAGCAAGGTTTTCTGAGTTCTTTTGATTTTGGAACCAAAGAGGGCTTGGAATTTGTCCAGGATTTCCGCTCGTTAGTTCCCACACCTTATTAAAAAGCGGCTTTGTGCTAAGCCAGCCGGAATATTCGGTGAAATCATTTGCGGGGAGATCAAGCCGTTAGCTTTTATCAATGTTATACAGGGATTCCAATGGCTCAAGTCTGTTAACAATTTAGACCTTTTCCACGCCAGAGCTCTTAAAAGAAACCCACCTTGATTAAATGAAACGGTTCTTGTGGCCTCTTTTAAACAGCCCGTTGACGCGTTTCTCCCCATCCTTGCGGTGTTCCTCCTCTCGGTAGCCTTGGGCAATTCTAAGAATCTGAAGCAGCAACAGCCCCCATGAAAAACCGCTATTTTAATTGTCTGGTCTCGTCCAGCACTGCTGTGAATACTTCACTGTTTCAGCCATAGGCCGGTATATCACGCCTCTTCCTTGAATTTCCGTACCCAAAAAAAAAAAAAAAAAAGGTCATCGTTCACGCGGTGGGGCACCCCTGCGGGTCTTCTGCGGGTGCCGAGGGGTCCCCCGCTGTTCTTGGGCTACAGAAAGAGCCGTGAACGAGGAAATGGCGGTTATTAAGGCATCACCACCCCACCCGGTGCAAGCGACCTGTTGCTCTTTTCAAAAGTCGCCCATCTGTGGTTCCCCTTTCAAAACTTTTGCTCCTCCAAGGATGCTACGGACCGACTGCCTGGGTGGGGAGTGGGGAAAACGGGGGAGACGGAGAGAAGGCGGGTGCGCAGGGGATGAGTCCGTCCTCGGCGCCAGGCGAGCTGCCTTGCGGATGGAGAAGTCCGGACCCCGAAAGGAACCACAGCTGGTTTTGGAAAGGAGAAAAGGAAGACACCGCTTGTGCTTCTTGGAATGTGCTCCTCCAGTTATTGTTTCCCGTCCTTGGTGGTGTAGCTCCTTCTTCGCTTGCCGCACGGGGTTGTGATGCTTTAATCCAACTGGGAGTCCAACTTTGCGGATCAGCGCAGCAGCACCACCCCTGTTGTGGGTACTCCTGCGTCTGTTCCTGCCTTCAAAGGGGCGGCGGGGAAGGTAGAGACCCTAATCCTACTCGGGGGTGGGGGGTGCTGCCTTTTCCCACGGGAGAACAGGATTGGTAAACCACGAACTTGTCTGCTGGCCTATGGATGAAAAGGCGCCATCCTGGAACTTGGAAAAGCATGGCGATCGAAGCCGAGGATCCCCCCGATCAATTTGTTCCTTGCAATTTGGCGGTCGGATCGATTTCCGGAGGGTGGCCATTCTCTTGAAGGCCACCAAATTCTTTCCAAATCCGCTTCTTAAAATCCCTTCCCCAGCACGACGTTCTGGAGAAGTTGCTTCCTGGAGTGGTCCTCTCCTAGCCGACGGTGGCTCTGCTCTTTCCAACGCGATGGCCGTCATTTCCAAAAACTGATATGAAGTCATTTCCCCCCTCCCCCTCTTCCATTGATTATTATTATTTTTTTATTGATTTATTTTGTCATGTTGGGAGTTACTAACCACATCGTAACTTTTGCCCTGTTGCTGCATATTTTACATTTCTCTGCTTTACTGGGGGGGGGGGGGGGAGAAACAACAACAACAACAAACCCATTCCTAAGCTACCTTAATTGTTTGTTTTTTTGGTGTGTGTGTTTGAGATTCAGATCAGTCTTTGCCTAGAGAGGTATAGAGGGGTGAAGGCATTTGCGAGTGGCTAGAACTAGATTTCCCGGGCGCCCTGTGGCAGCGGAAACTCCACCCACGGCTGGAAAGAGCAGAGAAACTGAAGCAGTGCTGTCCCTTTTTTTAAAAAAAACCATAAAATTAACCTTCTTTTTTCTTCTTCTTTTTTCCCCCCACCCTGTCCTGCCTCTCTGCTCTTTCCCGCGCTGTAGGTGGCTGTTTCATTGACAGTCCTTACTGCCAGCCACTTGACGTGACGCCTTTTATAATTCACCTGGGGCCTCAAGAATTCTTCTCTGACTTCTAAAGCAAGCAGGTTGCACAGCTCCAAAGGTGCTTTTTTTTCCCCCCCCCCAAAAAAACCCGTGAATTTTCAAAGCAAGAGCTAACGGAGACTCGGAAGGAGGGAGGGACCGTTTATATTGAATATTTTAAAATCCTCGGACTTCCTCCGGCACCCCAAAAGCAATAGGCCACCTTCACACACACCCTCCCCACCTTGGCTCTTGAAAAACCACAGCAATAGATGTACGGTAGGGTGTGTGTGTGTGTCTTCCGATGCCCTCTTATGCTTTGCACTGTGGGTCGGGGGGGTAGCCTCCCACCCAGCCTCCCACCCAGTTGAACTTAGCTAGCTGAACGCCCCTAACCTCCCGTGTTCCTGCTGGTGGAAATGGCTTGAAGAGAGCGCGTGGCATGGACTCAGGTGCCCAAAGGATGCCCTTCATGAGACGGGCTTTTTACGCAATCGTCGTAACCAGGATGTCCAGCCAAGAGATAGTCTTAAGAAGCCCAGCTATCCAAGACGAGGTGAAAGGAGGATTTTGCCAGAAAGAGGGGACCACCCAGAGCTCAGACCTGACTTTTGAAAGGGATGATGGGCTTGGGGGACCAGGAGAATCGTGGCAAGATGGCAGGGAGGAGAAAGCAAGAAGCTGAAATCTTTGTGATAGGCTCCTTTGTGGACTCTGTGGTAGACGTTGCCCCTAGATTGTGCCTTTTATTACCAAAAGAGGGGTAGACCCCTCTACCCTTGATTGTTTTTGCAGCAATTACAGTTTTCCATTCACCCCACAGCTGCACCCAGAAACATTTGTATGTAAAATAAGCCAAAAGGCAGAAACTGTAAGCTGAGTTGCGCAGGCAGATCGGGAAGAGTGAGGAGCTAAGCGCTAGAGAATATTTCTGTTCCTGCATTTTGCTATCTTGCAACCTCTTCGTACTTGATGCCAGTTTTTTTTTTCTTCTTCATGTTCTTCTCGATGAAATGTGATGTAAATATTTAGGGGGACCTGTTGGATTCTGAAAAGGCTTTCTCGGACTTTTTTTGGGAGGTGGGGGAGAATATATTTATTTATTGAGTTAAAGATCAAGGGAGTTTTATCTTGACTTTCCAAACTACGTTGTCTTTGGTTTATCAGCAAGTCTTAACAGGGGTATCTGGGCAGGAATGTGCTTTACTGTGGTGTAAAATTCAGGGGTCCGTGCTTCCGAAGGCTTCTCCCAGGAATGTCTGGTTGAGTTAGGATAGGACTTAAGTTGTCTGAAGAGCACGCAGAGCTGATTTTTTCCAAACGTGGTGCTTCTGCAGGCATGTGCCTGGATTCTCAGCCATCACGGCAAAGGTGTCCCGAGATTTGGACCAGGAACCAAGTTTGCATCAGTTGACCCAAGGTCTGTTTTTTGTTCTTGGTTCAAGTTGAGGTGCCTTCTTTGGCTAATGGAAGTCTAAGTGGGAGGGAGACAGGTTTTCTACAAAGATGGTGGTGCCGTCTGTGATCCTTGCTGTCCAGTTGAACACCAACACATTGTTAGCTTGAAGAACCAGAAGAGGACATCCTGTTATCTATGCTTCCCATTAAGACATTCATGTTTTCCAATCAATAATTAAAAATGGATCTCCCAACTGATAGGCTGATCTTTTTCTTTCGTTCAGAGATCTACCTTAAAAGCTTTAAAAAAATCGACGGGGCGCCCAGCGATCGATAGAACAGATTAATTCTCGGGGCTGATTTGAAAGGGGGACTCTTTGAACAAGTCTTTAAGGCCACATCAACAGGTGGCAGGTGAGAAAGAACTGTGGGGGACAGGGTTTTAATACCGCAGAAGGGTAGAAACCGGCGCCGGAGAGGGGCTTGTTCTATCCCAGCCTATTGCCGTCCTTGTTAGAGGCACAAGGGCCAAACCCCTGCTGATACAATAGGCTGGAGACTTTAAAACAAAACAAAATCCCTTTTATTTGGGTGACAAACCTGTCAATAAGTCCAACACACAAACAGCAAAACTCAAGTCCAAAGGAAGGAAATAGTCCACAGGAACACGTTGCAAACAAGACAAACAGACCAGGATTCCAAGAAGCACTTTGCAAACGGTTGCCTTCAGCAACCAGCACCGCCCACACCTCCCCTTTTTATACAGCAATCCCAGGGCGTTG